GGTTCACCTCGATTCAACTCACTCTTATGCTCGACTCAAATGCAACAGAAAGAAAAGTTGTCATCGGCACGGAGTCCAGAAGCCAAGTGAAAAAGAGATTTTCAAGAATAATAATTCACTTTAAATTCATTAGGCCTATTAGCTCGCGAATTGTTAAAATATGCTCGCGAAATATCAAAACGTGCTTGCGGTTTAATAAATCACTATCAAAATCGTAAAAATAATCAGCAGCTTTTATTTGGTCATTCCAGACGTAAAAACTCAGCTGGGCTTTGATCTCAGAACACGAAACAGCACAAAACGCGGTATAAAAGAGCAATGCCGTGCTCGTGGACGTGGTCAAAACCGTGTTTTGGTGTGAAAGTTTGATGTTACGCCTGCCACAGTGGCTCTTCTCGTTTCCCGCATTGTAACCGGCAGTTGTAACTGAGCGCTTATTCATACTAGCGTTAGTAGGCTAGATCAAGCCTACGACTTCAAGCCCAAAGAGTGTTTCACAACGATCTGTACAAAAATGAACGCGATTTACCTTAACATTTGCACCTGCTGCCGTATTAATAATCCATAAGTGTAAGACAAAGTAGTGTAGTACAATATGTCCGAATCTTGCAGTCCAGAGACAGTACATGGTTCATTTGAGAACAAGGAGACCTCGCCCCCCTGATCTTAACCAAAGACTAAAGAGAGAGAGGGGCTCGCACTTTGAGGTCTAACGGTGAACGAAACCCTTGATGCATTAATGGCTTTACAACCTGCTGGAAGAAACGAAAAGGGGGCTGGTCAGACCCACTGTGATTGACCTTGTAGATTTCAAAGAAGGCTACAGCATCCATCTCCTTGTGGATCCAGAAACAGAAGTTTGCCTACATTAGTAATGTAAACGGTCTGAGTGAACTAATAATTACAGGACAATGTTAAACAAAAGCCTTCGGAATCACCTGGCATTTGCTAACAGTCTTATCACCTGATCACAGCCTGTCAGTTTCATGTTATTGCCATATTTTTCATAAAACATCCAATGAATGAGTTACAAACATAAAGAAATGCAAAGACAATGTTTTAAGGGGTTATTGGTCCATTTGCATGTTTCTTCCTGTGCATATAGAAAATGATAAATGAATGCTGCCAGTTGCAATGAGAAATATTTGGGTCTAAACACCAATTTGATGCAAATGTATATTTAAATCACATAATGTCTGTTGTTGTTTTTTTAACAGCCAGAACACCAGAACATTCTGGTTAAAAGCTCAGTGCAACTATAACAGACACAAAGATTAAGAGGAAAACAAAATGCTCATTATTGCACCTTGGACGTTTTACAATCACATAAATGAACACTTTAGATAATGAATCTATGTTCTTCTCATGCCACAATAAATGTAGGTTTCTGACAACAAAAGCATGTTCAGACACCCGAGCCTGTGTCACACCACTGATTTCCCTGACTGTGCATTCCACTATTCTGTTGCTATTACTTCCAATATAAATGAGTATTACATTTGTTAAATAAAACATCAAAGCAATCCACTCAGTAGCATAATAAGTTGCAGTCAAAGTAAAAACACAAAAATAAAAATTTGCTTTAAAATTTGCTCCCCCTCAGGCCTCATCCAAGATGTAGATGCGTTTGTTTTTTCATCAGAACAGATTTGGAGAAATTTAGCGTTACTTGCTCACCAGTGGATCCTCTGCAGTGAATGGGTGTCATCAGAATCAGAGTTCAAACAGCTGATAAAAACATCACAATAACCCACACGACTCCAGTCCATCAGTTAACATCTTGTGAAGGAAAAGCTGCATGTTCATAATAAACAAATCCATTAGCACTTTTTTAACATCAAAATGCATCCTCTGTCCATAATATTGCTTTCTCCAGTGAAAAAGTTGTTTCATCTGAATCGGGAGAAAAATCTGCACAGATCAAGAACTGTTTAAAGTTAAAATGCCTTAATGATGGATTTGTTTCTTACAGAGTCGGACTCGTACTTGTGAATTATTGTGATGTTTTAATCAGCTGTTTGGACTCTCACTCTGATGGCACCCATTCACTGCAGAGGATCTATTGGAAAACAAGTGATGTAATGCTAAATTTCTCCAAATCTGTTCTGATGAAGAAACAAACTCATCTACCTTTTGGACGGCCTCAGAGTGAGTACATTTTCAGCCATTTTTGGGTAAAGAATTTCTTTAAACAACCATTTGTGGACATGTATTTTTAGACTCCATCACTGACATATACAGGATGAAAACTCCACACTGGAACATTGCCAGGCTATTGCAGATACTTGATATATGAAACAATAGACACCTGTGATGAAAACCATGGCTTTTGATTAAAGACCTATGGCAGCATACTTGTAGGTGTGAGTCAATGTCAAGAACAGCTTCAGTACCGGTTCACACTGCTGAAGGGCTTTGTACCTACACAATAGACTTTTGTATGGAGCTGCCAAACTAAAGGAATCTTTCTCTTACAGACACTGACATATGGACATTCCCACTGAAATAATATAAAATGTAATCATCAAATTACTAAACACAAAGAGCTATCTATCAGGTATTTTAGAGTATCCAGGACACCCCAAAATCCATAGACAGTTATGACAGTATTGGATTAATATGTATACATCTATTCCATCATGAAGCAATCCTGTACAGTGTAAGGAGTTTACATGCTTTTGTAATGGAAGCAGAATTAGAAATGATACACATAGACTACCCCATCAATAGAGAAGGAACTTCTTTACAAATTCAACATTTAGAATTACACTACAGTGACCCTAAAATTGTATTTGAACACTTTGGAGTGTTGTTGCATTAGATACAAAATAAAAAAAATTAAAATAATACAACTTTTCTCAGAGCTATCTCCTTAGTTCCTAGTTTTAGCTAAAAGTCCATTTGCCTCAGGTTAATAAAGGCATCTTAGAAGAGTGCATATATCCACTGATGTACTACAAATTTTGACAACCAGAAAGTGTATAAATACTCTTTTCAAAATGTATTATAAACTACATATATTTTGGTTTATTGTTTGAGACCCAACAGACATTTTTATTATTATTATTTAATGTTTTGCTTGAAAAATGTACATGTGCTCTCTGAACATTTGAGTTTGTATTCTGCTCAGGTAGCCATTACTAACAAATGATATGCACTTTAATACGTTGTTTTGGTAAGACTGGTTCTGCTAAAAACATACAAGTAAAAACTGGAGAAAGAAAAGAAAAACATTGGCAACAGTACTCTGGTCTGTTATAGAGTGAATTAAGGTAATCTGGGACTTTTCCCCACTTTTAACTTCTGCAATTAACTGTGATGTCACCCCAACATTTTATGCAAACAAATGACATCTATCTGAAATTGTCAAAATTCACATACATATTTAATGTGTTTGTGTTTGCTTTTGGTAATCCAGGACAGTTCACTTTGAGATTTAGGACAGTCTGTGCCCCCCTAATTTAAGTGTTCCAATGCACTAGTGAGAGCATGTGTACATGAGAAATGAATGAATGAGTGAGAGAGGAAGAAACAGAGTAAGATGCAGGGGAGATTTAAAATGACAAATTAGTTGCATATCCAGTTTTACATATGTAGCAAGGGTGTCTGAATAACATTTATGAATTATGAATGTAACATAAGCATATCCCTGAATGCCTTCATCTTTAATATGCGAGTCTCTTAGAAAAGCAACACCATGTCCTATTTATTAAAATCATTGGATAAAGAGAGAGTCATGTTTGAAATTACAACACAGTTTCACTGTAAAAAAAAAAAATAATAATAATAATAAATAAGTAATAATAATAATTTATTTTTCATAAATTCATCAAATTAATGTTTGATAAATATTTGGAACATTATTTTCTTTTTCTTTTAATTTGCCCTTAACAATAATCTTTAAAATATCGTGTATCTGACCATTGGTTTCTTTTACAGGGGGTCCTATTATACAAGTTAGAGACATTAGATAGCCTAATGTCATCTCAGTTACATCAAAACCCAGCTAGAATATAGTAATGTTGCCATTGATTTGCTTGTGATGTACGAAGAAAAGTACACATCATATGTCTTACATTACAGTTTTTCTCAGTCGCTTTGGTGCATTTCTCACATCACTATTTACATTTGCACAACAGTTAGTTCAACCTCCACAACATTTAGTCATTTGTGCACATCATAGTAGCAGTTTCTCATTCCTTCGAACTGAAATTATGTGGCCAGACAGAGAGGAACGTCTGGATGTGCATGAACGATTACAGTACTATGTATGTTGTATGTTAAGTTCCAATATGTACTGCAATGTTGTGCACAGCTCTACCCAAAGGGAGTTTATGTTTGTTGTAAATAAGGGTGTATTTTTTCTTTTGCACAATGCTGTGAACAAATTAGAATTGCAAAGAGCATATGCAGTAAAAATGTGAAACATACATATTCAGTGTCTTGTACTCAGTTACCTCACTAAATACAGTAATGTGTAACTTTACTGTATTTTTCAAATGGCTGTGCAAATAGTATATAGTGCTGTCTTGAGCATTTTCAGGTAGTGTCACCAAGATCTGACTTTTTTGCATTGGAAAACATTGACAGAGTAAACTGTCATAATGAAAACATGACAAAGCCATTTGACTATCTTGTTCATAAACAATGGTGTCAGGACTTTTCATCTTGATGACACTGACACTTTCATTGACATGAATACTTGCTTTTGAGGAATGACCTATCCATTTTGAGCAAGTGACACGCTTTTGCAGGTTATCAACTAGGTTTTGCAGTTTGTACTAATTGTTTTGAGAACTGCATTAACTGTTGTGCAAATGTAAATAGTGATGTGAGAAATGCACCAAAGCGACTGAGAAAAACTGTAATAGCTTAAATGCAATGATTACATTACAGTGGATGGTTATCGGACTATAGGAGATAGATAGATAGATGGATGGATAGATAGATAGAGAGCAGGTAGATAGATAGTGGGGAAAAAGGACTTTTGAGGATATGCAATTAATTAAATTGGCAGTAGATGGCGAAAAGGCTCTACTTCAGAGGCAGCTTCTTCGGTGTTATGAGAGTTTTATTCAGTAAATCATGATATCTTTCTAAAATAAAGTGGTTTTTATTTTTTTATAAACAACTACTGAATTTATCTAAAACCTCTAGAGAATTATTTCATAATTAAGACATGTCATAATTAATTTCCCCAGAAATGATTTTGAATACTTGGTATGAACATGGTAGTTAATGTTGACATTTATACCTGTGCGTTTTTATTATTATTATTATTTATTTTATTTTTTTTATTAAATAATTTGTAATCTTTGTAACACATTTGTGTATTGTGGAGCAGTAAAGCGTGGGTTTGTGTCATTGATCTAATGGCAGAACTCCTCCCTGTTTTTAGGTTCCTCCCCACTGACTTACAGCAAACCTTTCAAATATCCATTCATCACCGGCAATCCAACGCACGGGTCTTCTTTCTGTCTATAGAAATCATAAGCAACTGCTTTCACCAAACCTAGGACCTTTTTGACGTCATCAGAGACACTTTACATATTAATGGATTAATTGACTATTGATTGACATATGGAAGTGCATAGGTTCCATAAAGATTAGCCTAATTGCATTTTTGTCTGTGACGAAAACAAAAGACCACCGTGACTTATTAAAAATTAGCAACTCAATTTGCATAATGGAATTATTGTTGTTTATTTTTTGCTGTGGCGCATTTTGTTTGACACGAGCCAATCTGATGGAGCAACAGACTGCTGACAATATAGACAACCGTTCAACTCTAGAAGATGAAATGGACAATCAAGAAAACATCTTAACACAGGTAATCTTTCTTGATTAAATATTAAATGATGATTACATGAACATATGATAGTCAGTGTGAGAGTGTATTTTGCATTATTATTATTATTGAAATTTCTATGTAAATACTAAATGATATAAGGTGATTTCTGACCAAAAAATCATAAAAAATATGTAGTAGTAATAATAATAATAATGTGTTCGATTTTTATTTACATTTCTATGTAATAGGCTATATAAGTTATATAAGGTGGGTTTTGACCAAAAAAGGCGTAAAATATGTATATGTATATATATATATATAATGATTTCATTATTCACTGTCATTATTTACTCTAATAGCTCATTGGGGACTATGATAAAGTTAAGACTCTGTCTGAGGGCTCAGACTGTCAGTGTAAGTGTGTAGTAAGGCCTCTGAGCAGGAGTGCATGCAAGCGCATTGAAGAGGGCCATGCCAAGCCTGAGGACTTCTACACAGTGGAGACCGTCACTGCAGGACCCAGCTGTAAGAAGTGTGCCTGCATCGCCCCTCCCTCTGCCCTAAATCCCTGTGAGGGAGACTTCAGGTTTAAGAAGCTGCAAGAGGCGGGACGGGATGATGTAAAGGTAAAGAGTTTTGAAGTCAGGGCTCATGGGGAGACAGAGACAAGATTCATGCACTGGTGTTGATAGAAGATTCTTAATAATTCTGGATAAGTTATAAAACCATACTTGTACTATTTAATTTGCTGACTTGTTTTAGACTTAAATAAATTAGTCAATATTATAAATAACTTCTACTAAGCCACTCTATTAGCTCAGTCTATTAACTCAGGTAACTCAGTCACTTTCTATAAATTTTGTAAATTAAAAATACAAATCTTATTTATTTATTTATGTATTTATATCTTGATGTTTCAGCTCTCAACCATAATGGAACTGCTAGAAGGAGCATTTTATGGGATGGACTTGTTAAAGCTTCACTACATCACAACAAAACTTCTGGAACGGGTTGATAATATAGAGAATGTGAGTGCAATATTGATACTTGTTCTCAGAAATAATAGCATATATAAACATTTGTGAACTATAAACAGTGGTTCTGAGAGAAGTTATGTCTTATATTATTTAATGCTTATAAGAATATATGGTACATTACATTTATAAATATACACAGACACACACACATATATATATATATATATACACACACTCTTAAAAATAAAGACTCTTTATTGCCATCCATGGTTCCATTATCCATGGAATATATTGCATTAAAGGTTTTTTTTTTTTTTTTTTAAGAAAAATGTTCTTCACACTCAGAAAAAAAATGGTTCTTTTAGGAATTGTTCACAAAAAGTTCTTTAAGAAACCCAAAATGGTTCTTCTAGATAATCACTGCAATCAATCAATCAATCAATCGATCTCTTTTGGAACCTTATTTTTTGTAAAAAATAATTTTTTGTAAGAGTATACACCCACAATTTTTGACAATATAATTTGGTATAATTTAGAGCCTCCTTTTCCACATTAGCACCATCACAGGAAGACCAATGCAGTCATGGTATATTAAAAAAACAAAACATGGTGTCACATTATTTATTTTTGATTATGCTGTTCCCTGAAACAACCACATTGCTTTCTATACACTATTCAGTATTACCATGGCAACAGAAATGTCTGCTTTCAAATGTTGCCTCTGGACAAAGGGAAACTGAGTTCAGGTGGTTGGGCGGAACTGCCACCCATGGACATCTATTGTGTTTACATTCTCCTTACAGTCGTTTTCCGGAAACCTGACAAAAGAGAAAGTGAGCGTGAAAGGTGAAAAAAAGGAAGGGAAGGGGCCTCGCTCCAACCAACGGCAAGAGAAGAGGAAACATCTCAGCGTGCTGGAGCCCTCACTGCAGAAGAATGCGGCAGCTGCTTTTGCTCACACTGAGGTACAGATATAGCACACACTAGCTCAATCCATTAGAAATGCCTTAATAGGCTCATATTAGTCTCACTTCACACAGATGACAACTGCCAACATATATGCACAAATACACGCTGCAAATGTCATCTGCATTACCACCAAACTTTGCCCAGTGGAAACAGTGGTCGAATTTACTGTTCCAGTGAGTCTGGGAGACATGTCAGTAGAGAAATAGTCAATCAAAGCCATGCAACTTTCCCACAACATGCTCAAGTCATTAATACACCACAAATTCCCCTTCATCTCAATCAGGACATTTATGCAGCCACAAAGTGGGCGACTTGGAAAGAGACAATAAATGCTTCTTATTTGATACAGTAATTTGAATCAGGTTAATCCCATACATTTGTGAAGATTTAACTGATAATTTCGCTGTTTATTCCTGGCCAGAGGAAATATGAGGAGAAGTTTGTTGGGAGTCAGGGCTCCAGCAAACCTGTGCTGAAGCGAAGCAACTCTGAGGGTCAGGAGGAGAAGCATAAACCTGCAAAGACCAAAGCCGGTCCCAATGGCATGACCATCAAAAGCATGACCTTCTACAAGGCCAACACAATGGAGGACAGCGAAGGGGAAGAGCACAGTGAGTGTCCAACAGCTCATTTTACTGAAATAATGACTAGAATTGCAGCTTTTGTGGTTGCAGCTCTTATGGATGTCAACGGAAAAAAATACTGAGAAGGATCAACAACATGTTCTTATATTTAGGGTTAAAGTTTAGTATGAAAAATTTTGCACGTTATTATCACTCACTTATTATCATTACACAGTGACCACCCATAATATTTTTTCAGCAACCTTGGTTCCGGAAGTATTTTCCCCATTTATTTTATCCGTAGGGATTTAAAAAAAACACAATATTTGATTTAAAATATAATTTTATTTAAAACAAAAAGTTATATGTAAATGAGGGGGGAAAAGGTACACGACTATTACTTAACGTTTACTTAAATGAACTACATTCCCATAATAAACTGTAAATAACATAATCAAATTATACAATATACAACTATTAATTTATAGCCAACAGTACATTTCAAATTTGTTGTTAAATATTTATATGTATGTATTATTGCATATAAATACATTACTGTATTTTAATATTTTTGAAAGAAGTCTCTTATATCCTCAGCAAGTCTGCAATTATTTGATCAAAAATTTTGGAAAAAAATATACTAGTCTAAAAAATGCTAGTCTTCGGTGTAACATCTTTCATAAATCATTGCTGATTTGGTGCTCAAGAGACATTTCTTATTATTTTAAATGTTGAAAAAGGTTGTGCCGCTTAATATTTTTGTGGAAACCTGATATTTTTTTCAGAATTCTTTGATGAATACAAAGTAGCATTTATTTTAAATAGGAATCTTTGGCTGAATAAAAATGTGAATTTAAATAATATAAATTACTCTGACATAGTCAGCACCATTTTCAGATTATAGGTGAAACTGTACAAACAAGAGTAGGCTGAAGTTCAACTAAGCATTTTATGTTTGTTCTCTCAAAAGCCACAGCAGCACATGAGGTTGTGAGTGGCGATGGCTCGGTGGATTTAATAATTGAAGACCAGCTCCATAAGCAAGAGCCGCCTGCATCTGTTACAAGACCTGCAACCGCTGCGACAGTGACCCAGACACCGTCAACAAACCTCAACACACAGAATGAAGACCCTACTGCTGCAAACATGCCAAATGTAACAAGACAAACTGAAGAAGAGACTGTAAAAGCCGAGAAGTCAAGCACAATTACAACAACAAGGGCAATCCTGCCAACCTCATTGCCTTTAACTACCATAATGTCACCAAGCACCAATGCAGCAACCACCGCAACTCCTCTTGCAGTGCCACAGCTGGCCAGTGTTACAGCACCTGCAAAGAAGTCCAAACTTAGCTGGGATGAAGCTACAACTCAAACAAGCACACAGCCTCCAAAGAAGAACAAAGAACAAGGTAAGCTTGATTCCACGTTTTGAAGAAAATTAACTTAAAAGAGTTTAGAGGGGCCGTGATATATAGATGCTTCCCCTCTGGTTTTGTTGTTTACAGAGATCTGCAAGGACACATTAGCAAGCATTGCTGATCCTGTTACACACAACACATATGGAAAAAATGAAGGTGCATGGATGAAAGACCCAAAGGGCAATGGAAAAGTTATATATGTGACTGACTACTACTATGGAAACCAGCTTCTGGAATTCCGTGATATGGACACCTTTAAACAAGGTACATGTATCTTTAAAATAGATACTGATTTTTTACTGAAGAGGATCTTTTTTCAGCAACCTTTATATTATTACAGTTTGATTCTGTTTTTTAAAGACTGGTTGGAAACCATAACTGTACTAAATAATAACAAATATGCATATACAGTGCCATTCAAAAGCTCCGGGTTAGTACTTTTTTTTTTTTAAAGAAAACAATACGTTTATTCAGCATGGACACATTAAATTGATCAAAAGTGACAGTAAAGACATTTATAATGTTACAAAACATTTCAATTTCAAATAAATGCTGTTCATCAAACAATGCTGAAAAAAATGTATCACAGTTTCCAAGAAAATATGAAGCCGTCTTCAACATAGATAATAATTAGAAATGTTTCTTGAGCAAATCAGCATATTAAAATGATTTCTGAAGTATCATGTGACACTGAATTCAGCTTTGCCATCACAGAAATAAATTACATTTCAGAATATATTCAAATAGAAAACCGTTATTTTAAATTGTAAAAGTGTTTCATAGTATTGCTGTTTTTAGCAATACTATTGCTGTCTTGGTGAGCATAAGAGACTTTCAAAAACATTAAAAATTCTTACAGACCCCAAACTTTTGATCGGTTGTGTAGTTTTGTGGGGGAAAATATTATCTTATTTAGATTTTTCTCAATTAAAAATGTTTCTCATATAACAACGTACATCTTACAGATAATATCTGAATAATTTCGGTTAGTACAGTTACAATATAAAAAACCAATTGTTCAATTTTGGAGACAACATGTCATACTTATTTTTCTCATATATCATGAATGAGTCTTTATAGTTGCAAATATACAGCTGCTTGTATATTTTTGAAGGAGGTCCGTTGCAGGAGCATCATGATCAACGCCTGCAGTATATGACATTTGTTTCTCTTCTTTTTCTCACAGGGCAGTTTAGCAACTCCTACAAACTCCCCTATAACTGGATTGGCACTGGCCATGTGGTCTACGGTGGCTCTTTCTTTTACAATAGAGCCTTTTCTCGTGATATAATCAGGTTTGATCTTCGTCTCCGGTATGTAGCAGCCTGGACCACCCTTCATGACGCAGTATTAGAGGAGGAGGAGGCACCCTGGAGTTGGGGAGGACATTCAGACTTTGACTTTGGTGTGGATGAGAGCGGGTTATGGTTAGTGTACCCAGCTCTGGACGAAGAAGGATTTCACCAGGAAGTGATCATCCTGAGCAAGCTCCGACCTTCTGACTTACAGAAAGAGAAGAACTGGAGGACGGGCCTGAGGAGGAACTACTACGGAAACTGCTTCGTCATCTGTGGCGTTCTGTACGCCGTCGACAGTTTCCAGCACACACAGGCCAATATTTCCTATGCATTCGATACGCATACACACACCCAGATGATTCCCCGCCTCCCTTTTGTAAACAACTACACCTACACCACACAAATCGACTACAATCCTAAGGAACGTATGCTATATGCATGGGACAATGGCCATCAGGTGAGCTACGATGTAACATTTGCTTATTAACTGTAATTTAAACACTTTATTAAGGTACTGCGTGCAGCACTTTCTGTATAAAATAGTCAAATGGTTATGTGTCTAAGTGGGTTGTAGATCAGTCTACATGACAAATATGTTTTATAGATATTTCATTATGCCTTTAGTTTTGTCTTTTTGTCTGTTTGCATGTCTTTTGTATTTGCTTTTTAGTGGATGTTTATTGATCTCAAAGAGGTTCAAATATGATTGAGCTATTCATGACAAGGTTCTCACTGCTTATATGAAGTATAAATGTATGATGTACATAATGTAATTTAAAATAAACCTTATAGCAAGCTCTTCTAAACCTGTGGAGTGTCATCGCTTTAGCTTCTTTTAAGGTCAACATAAAACGTCATTAGCAACCAATTTAACTTCCATAATATGGCATACTTCAAAATGAAACGATACTCAAATGAGGGGGGGGAAGAAACTGACTGGATTATCAAAGAGGTTTTCTGTTTAGCAGTGGGCATGTATTTTAATGAAATCCTTCCAGACCATGAATTGTGCATTAAATATTGTGCATTGTTCCTAAGGACTGGTCGGTACTACTTCAGAATATATATTATGCTGTTAGCAAACTCTACCGTATCTCCACTTCATTGCCTCTCCTCAGAAAAATTCCAGAGAAAACCAGATGAGAAAGAGGAAGGATCTTGAGCTTGACAGCACCTTGTGGAATTGACAAAAAATATCACCATTACAAAGCACTACTCTTGTCACAATACCAACATTTCAGTATTTGGTACGAATGGCAGTAAAATTTAACAGGTCTCAGTACAAATTTGGGTACGAAAGCAAAAACTGTTGGAAATTTTATTAAACCGTTAACAGTTAATTTCAAAATTGGTACCAAGTTCCGTACTTTTGACAACACTATAAAAGAGCTTGACAGCACCTTGTGGAATTTACAAAAAATATCACCATTACAAAGCACTACTCTTGTCACAATACCAAAATTTCAGTATTTGGTACGAATGGCAGTAAAATTTAACAGGTCTCAGTACAAATTTGGGTACGAAAGCAAAAACTGTTGGAAATTTTATTAAACAGTTAACAGTTAATTTCAAAATTGGTACCAAGTTCCGTACTTTTGACAACACTATAAAACATGTTCAAAGATGCAAACATATAGTGGGAAGAAACAGTAACTTACATGTTTATTCTGTTACCTCATTTGACCAGACCATGTATTTTATATATTGTATGTGTTATATTATATATTATATTAATGACAAATCAAAGAGAGATCTGTGATCTGAATATCATTTATAATAGAAGGCTATAAACAGATTCTCAGTTATTTGCATTCAGCTTGGTCTCAATGAAAACAGCATGCTCAGTCTTTCTCCTTATCAAACGTGCATTCAGTTTCCTTTCTGGAAACCTTACCGTGAGAGTGAAAGCTGCTCCATGTCAGTCTGGTTTGAGAAAATGACTTCTTGGGTGAAAAAAACTAAAGTGTCTAAGTATTAGACAAGATGAAGTGACAGCTCTGATATGCCAGTGACAGTCATTCTACATACTGTATATGACATATATGACAAAATTGTGGTTTAAATCACCTTAAAGCATTATGAGAATGACAGAGAAAAACATTGGCCTTGCTGTAGGGCTGTGGTGGGGAATCATTCAGACAACTACATATTAACAGGGCTCTGAACGGCGGCCACATCTGCAGAACCTTGGAGAAGTAGGGTTTGAAACCCCAGAGGTCTCCATGCACAGAGGCTTTACTTTGGCCAAGTCCACCGTCTGTCTGAGCAAGCTGATGGTGTCACGCTATACTCCAAAGAGTTCATATGCTAACGTACTCTGATGTCAGCCAACACAGTCATTCATTCATGTTGATGGGGTTCCCTGCTCTTATTCTTAATTAAGATTGGCCTGACTTCTGTAGAGCGTCATTCAGTTGGTTCAGGCCATTCTGTTGGATAGCTCAGTATCCTTTTACCATGAACCCTAGACTGTTAGGGTCCTACCACATTACTTATGTCAACCAAAATACAAAATTAGTACCCATCAAGTGCCAAATTAGAGTAAAAATTGGCTTTCCTGAGTAAAGAAAACAGTTACTCGCCAATTGGCTAGAACTTCAGCATTACATGCTTTAAGTTGGACTGGACAAATGATAATATGACCTTCACTGAGGTAAGTACACATGCTTTCAAAATCAATCAGTCTACCAAAGAAATCATTAGTAACTGTCATGACTACACAATTTTTCCTCAATGAAAAATTTACTACCAAAAATAAAAAATGGACTCTGTCATCATTTACTCACCCTCAAGTTGTTCAAAACCCATAAGACTTAAGGTTAATCTTTGAAACACAAATGAACATATTAGGTAACACTCTATAATAACTGCAAGCTATGAATCATTAGTTAGGCATTAGTAAATAGTCAATTCATAATTTATAAAGCATTGTCCCTACATAGACATGATAGACATTAGTAATTTATAGCTCTATAAGCAGTTTATAAATACAGCTATGAATGGTTTGTGTGGTCATTTCTATAATGTGCTTATTAATTGTATTTCATACTTTATTAATGATCAATTTATAATTTCTAAATTAAGTATTACATTATTTACAAACTGGAGTTGCCAGTGGTTCATAAGATCATTTAGAAAGTGTAAGTAAATTGTGAATAAACTATTTGAATGTACATTTACATATCTTATTTAGACATATAGTAATAATATGTTAAGAAATGCTCTATTAACACATATTCCTACTGTAATTCATGATTAATTCAGGTAGTTATAAAACATTTAGTAGTTGTCAGATAACTATTTTTGAGAGCTCATCTAAAGTGAGGGATATTTATGCCTCGCAAAGCTTTTACAAAGGAGACTTAAAGGCTCAGTTATCTTCTAAACAGAAAAATGAAACAAACACAACAGTGATACAGAACATAGAAATATTTATTTCAAGATGCAAAAATTAAACTGTACAACTGTACATTTGATTTACAATGAAAAATAAACCTCTGCAATGTCATAGAAAATACAAATTCCTGTACACCTCCAGAAAACATAACTGTGCAGTAAAATGAAACTAAGCCTCTGCAATCTGATATTAAAATACATTTCTGTAAAGTGTAAACATTACTGAATAAAAATTTACCAGTGACAAAATAGTTGTTAGTTTTGTTGCTTATTTTGTTGACGTGTATTATTTTTGTTGCTTATTTTTTATTCACTTTCTTGCTTATGTTGTTCTTTTTTTTTGTTAATTTTGTTGCTTATTTAGTTCCCTTTTTTATGACATTGCAGAGGTTTATTTTTCATTTTATATCAAGTGAACAGTTGTACAGCTGAATTTTTTGCATCTTAAAATAAAATTTTCTATGTTCTGTATCACTGTTGTGTTTGTTTCCTTTTTCTGTTTAGAAGATAACTGAGCCTTTAAGTCTCCTTTGTAAAAGCTTTACGAGGCAAAAATAGCCCTCACTTTAGATGAGCTCACAAAAATAGTTAACTGACAACTACTAAATGTTTTATAACTACCTGAATTAATCATGAATTTCAGTAGGAATATGTGTTAATAAAGCATTTCTTAACATACTATTACTATATGTCTAAATAATAAGATATATAAATGTACATTCAAATAGTTTATTATTAATCATTTACTTACACTTTCTAAATGATCTTATGAACCACTGGTAACTCCTAAATAACCGGTTTGTAAATAATGTAATACTTAATTTAGAAATGATAAATTGATCATTAATAAAGTATGAAAATACAATTATTAAACACATTATAGATATGATTATAAATCAAGAATAAAACATTTATAACTGTACTTATAAACTGCTTACTGATGTTTATTAATGTAGGGATAATACTTTATAAATGATGAATTAATTGTTTACTAATGCTTAACTAATGATCCATAGCGTGCAGTTATTATAAAGTGTTTCCAGATATTTTCTATTGAAACCTGAAAGATTTCTGCCCCTCTAAAATTCTAGGTTTTTATTTACCTGCTCGATTTAAATGGATTAATTTTATGATGCCTTGATAACCTTTTTTGGATCTTTAAAGTTTTGGTTGCCTAAACGTTCAATGGAAGGACAGAAACCTCTCAGGTTTTATTAAAAACATATCTTCATTGTGTTTTGAAGATTAACCAAAGTCTTATGGGTTTGGAGCACCATGAGAGTGAGCAGATGACAAAATTTCCATTTTTGGGTGAACGATCCCTTTAAATAAATGAACAACTTTGTAGACTTTTGCCTTGTATATTTCAAGAAAAAGACCAAGATAAAAGAAAGAGCGAGGTGAACATACTAAGAAGCTCCTCAGGGAGCTGACCCTCAACGTGTGAGAGGATGGTGAGGGGATGTTGTTGTCATGCAATGAGCCGGAGTGAGAAATTCTCCCGCTGGGTGTATCTAAGCCCATCATGCATGCTCCCTCTTAAGAAGACATGTCTTCACAGTAGTGGGTGCCACTGAACTTGCCTGGGGAATTCTCTGGAGCTAACAAAACATACAATAACAGGCCAAAGATGAGCCAGAGGTCAATTCCGCTATAATTCTCTAACACACTTCAATTGAACTCCATACGAACGAGGTTAAAGATGTCGTGCAGAAAAACAAGGTAAGATGAGAGAGGAAGGTCATAAATCCCACCATACTGTCAAGAACTATAGAAATATGTTTGGGGTTTTGACTGGTTCTTACTGTGGGCCTCTTCCAACTCAAACTTACCAGGTGGTTTTCATGGACCACTAATGAAAAAACAGCTTCAGACTTTCAAGAGCGTCTTTATAGACTATGTGAAATGGCTTTACAATGTCCTTTCCTGTGTTGACACATTTCCAAGTAAAATAGGATGTTGGGGCAGGGCATTCTGTATCATTCTATTTAGTCCTTGGCTAGATCAGTATGCCTCAGACTACAAGGACTGTAGTCACCAAAGACATTTAGCACATATACTCACTGGGTCATTGGACTTGGAGAAACTCTGAGCCAATTACACTCAGCCATTATGGAAAACAGCATCTTGTTGGATGGCTGTATTTTCACGATTGCTCTCCAACAAAGCCTTTAGGTCCAGCTTTTCATTCCCAGAGCAGCTTATTACCAAACCAATGCAGTCCCAGTCTGTGCTTTCTATCACTGCAACAGTGGTATATGTGAATGTAGTCTGGCCATTCAATCAGCCCGTGAAGGTTCTGGGAGCAGAGCTTCTTTTCTTTAGCTTTGACCTAAGAGGAACTGTATCTTGTCTCCTAATACTCTGACTCACAGATAAAAACAACTGGTCATCCAGACCTGGAAAAGTACCATTGGGTTTAGGCTTTTGTGCCACAGTATTTACACTGTCACTCTACATATGGTTTACTTATACTGTATTTGCCAGTGCTTATTAAAGTCAACATTAAATTGAAGTTGTGGGTGTCTTTTTCCTATTGTGACCTATATCTGAGTGAAACGGCTGAAAGTAGGGCTGGGCTTGATTTCTTTTTTTTATTTTTTTTATTTTTTATTTGTAAGACATAACTGTATGTTGTATAAGCAGTCAAGAGCATTAAAATAAAACACACACAAGAAACTGCACATATGCATATAGACATCATAGTGGCACTCCTGGAGACTTAAAAAGTCCAGAGATTGAAATCAGGCATGGTGATTTTCTCTCACAGGTTCTTTCTTCTCACAGACAGAAACACATTCATCTACTCATCTAGTAGTCATCGACATGAAATAACGCTGAAAATCAGATCTGAAACTTCAGAGGAGCTGTCTGAATAGAGCTAATTGTAGGAGTGTTATCCCTGCATGGCATTAGGACTCCTTTCACTGTGAGACTCAATGATGATTTATCAGATTAACATCAAGAGAATGCTTTTATCAAACCTCATCCGACTGTTTATGCAGCCATCAAACACACAGCATTCCTGGAGACCTTTCAGAGGGGAACTCAACACGCTGTATCTGTATTAGATCAGGCATTACAGATCATTCTTTGAAGTGAATGCAATTATGCTCATTTGGGCTCAAAGGAAGGCATGCTTTTACTAGCACTGAGCACTGCAGGTTCTAAAAGGCAAAAAAGCTAGCCAAACGTTTTTTTTCCTTTTCAAACTGTAATAAATTTTAAATAGTGTCTCTCTCTCTATTTTAAAAACACTCTTCTCTTCCAACACAATACACCCAACAATGGTACATCACAGCCCTGCATCTGAAGCCAGATGTGTTAAGACTGAACTGGAAGGCATCTGGGACAGTCCCCTGAAGGGCCTCTGTGTTGCTGATCATTCAAACTGTATGAAACCCCGTTCCATGCAATGAAAGTAAATTGCAGTGTTTCAGTATCCTTATGTAGGGATGTTTTAGTTGAGACTGGGAAAAATTTCAGGTTAGATGGAAGATGGATGGTAAAAATTATATGTATAACCTTTAGCCATCAGCCAGAAAGTTAAAATGGAAAGATGATTCAACATTCTGCATGACAGCACGAAACAAAAGAACAACCAAAACATCTGTACATTTATTCAGTTTTTCCACATTTCCAATGCTTCCACAGTCAATCACCTGTTACAGCAGCTCCAGTGCCCATTTAATTAAAAAGTAAAATAAATAAGTAAAAATTATGGAGCTTGCAGACATGCTTGTATAAGAGCTCATTCTCTCAGCTCCACATTTGCTCATGATTATATTTAATTTTCCAAAACACTCTACCATTCAAAAAAATTGTGATCTGTAAAACTTTTAAATAGTTTAATAGTTCAGAAAGGATAAATTGAACTGATCAAAAGTGGCAGTGAAGACATTTATGTTACAAAAGATTTCTATTTTTAAATAAATTCTGATCTTTTGAACATTCTATTCATCAAAGAATCCTGAAAAAAAAATATCAGTTTCCATAAAAACATCACAAAGTGTTTCTTGAGCACCTAATCAACATTTTAGAATGGTTTCTGAAGGATCATGTGACGCTGAAGACAGGAGTAATGACTTCTGAAAATTCAGCTTTGCCATCACAGAAATAAAATATATTTTAAAATGTATTAAAAAAGAAAACACTTTGAACGGTAGCATATAAAGAAACTTTAACATTTACATTTATGCATTTAGCAGATGGTTTTATCCAAAACGACTTACCTTGCATTCAAGCTTTTTATAACTAAATGCTTTATTACACTAGTTAGTTTCAGATAATCAGTCTCTAAATATAATTATTTTTATATTATTATTTACATGATTTACATCTAAAACACACTGGAAGTCAGGGCACATTCGGATGCAGCTGAATCAACACACGGTTACTGATTTTCAGAAATCAGGCCTAATCACTGACATTCCATGACCCTCTCAGGACTCTCCCGTTACACAGAAGAGGGGGATTCTTCCGCCTGCAGCCGGTGGAGAATGATGTAGAGTGACAAACACTGTGTACAGGGTGATTAAT